TCACGAAATACAAGATGCTTATCTTGTCTTATTCTTTTATGCTGTAACTATCAAATCTATGTAATCTTCTTACAAGATATCCAAGATTTACTTCACTCTTTTTTTTATTACATTATTATAATTTTTATTCTACATTTATAAGTCTTAAAACCTGTAGTTTTTACTAGTCTACGCATATCTTATTGTAAACTATGAAGCATTGACCAAAAAATTACAAGAATTCTAGAAGCACTACAATATGTTTTCCCAAATGAATAAATATCATGATAAATAAATTATAGTCGTTCTTCTTTACTTGGATATATCTATGTATATATATTTTAAATAACTTTCAAAATATATCAAATAGTTTTCTACCACCTTAGCTAACAAAAACGCTTAATAAATATTAATGAATAGGTTGTAAAATTCCATACAATGTTTACAACTTTAAAACCATAAGAAAAACCTTTTAAATCCTCTATATCAAACTTGAGTTCATTAATAAGTTCAAGTTTCTTTTGGTACTCTTCCTGAAGATATTGTTTTTCTTCTTCATTGCAGCATATCGCGTCTTTGAGATTTTTAATTTGTTCCTTCTGGGCTTCGATATTGTCAAGAAGCTCTAAGGAACGTGAAGTTTCTTCCGGTGTTGGTGTCTGGAACAATTAAATGTAATGTCGCTTGCACATATTTTAAATTATTGTTAGACAATAATGTGAGAAATTATTATGATACTTAAAAGGTAATATCATTCCTGTATATGAACTTACTTTATTAATTTCTTGCTCTAAAAAGTTATCTATTTGTTGGGATAAACTCTTTATTTGCTGTTCCTGACACATTATTTTGCACTCGTATTCTTTGACTTTGCACACTAAGTTATTTTTTTGTTTTTCGAACATTAAAGAGGCTTCTGTAATTTTTTTCTCTAACCTAACATTCTCATTTCTGAGTTCATCTATAGCTTCACATTTTATTTTATTAATTTCTTGCTCAGCTTTTAATTTTGTTTCTAAGTTTAATGTTTCCTCAGTAAGGATATAATAATTTTCTTTTAACTTATCCAGATCTTCTGAACGTTTTTTGAAAATTTCTTTTTCTTTCCACATTTGGTTATACTCTTGGAGTTGATTTTGTAGACAATGACATTCCTGCTCTAAATTCATATATTTTTGGCACTGTATAAACATATTATCTCGTTCATGCTTCAAAGTCTCGTAGCAATTTAACAAGTCGTCATAGTTTGCTTGTAAATTTTTTAATCGATTTATATTTTCAGCGTCTATATTATAATTGTCAATATTATAAGGATCGTCCAATTGCTCATCTTCATTTCTTGATGTTATATCTTCTTTGCTTAAAATTTCTTGCATTTCCTGATGCTGCATGATGTCTGCAACTAGTTGAGCTCTTTTACTATCTATATCTATATTGGGTTTATTATTTTCCAGTGATGTTAAAGCAAATGTGGTTTCTACGTGTGTTAGAATCTCAGCTCTATAACATGAACAATCCTCGTGCGCTGAATGTTCCTGTGTACAAGGAGCTATCAGAGCGAGGCTAAATTTCTCTAATACTTTCATTTTAAATAAAATTTTGCCTGTAATGTCTATACATCTGGTGTCTTTTCCAGCAGTCTGTAAAATAAAGACTTTATTTAAATGAAATATCAAAAGAAAATGTATAATTTATATTTTATGACTTACCAATAAATCTAAATATTGTTTGTACTTCTTGTTTTGACATAAAATTCCAAATATTTTTTCCAGAGCTGTATATATATGAGCGTATATGCAATAAGGTTCACATACGTCGTTCTCCATGACCTAAAGTAAAAAAATAACAATGTGTTGTGTTTTTTATTGATCATAAATTTACAAACACCATGAAAAAATGCATCACCGCTATAGTATTCTGCATAGCACTTAATTTCGCGTCCTTGTTTATAATCAGTTCTTTCATTTCATCAATTCTGCTGTCATGAGCAGCTGAAATGGGTTAACATCCAATTAGTTTTTATGTTTATTTATATTAATATTCATATACAATGAGGCCTTTAATTCGGGCTTAAGAAATGCAATTACTTTTAAAAAGAAAATAATCTCTTAGTTTATGAAAGTAACTGTATATCTTATGTCAAAAAAAGCCTCTATTATTATATTTATATTTCTGATAGGTTGATACAAACATGTGCTTGCATCACATACGCAAGGAGGAGATCCTATCTGGTTACTTTTAGCTTCCATTTTAGACATCGGCTCTTTTTCCACAATCCACTAGAAATTTATTTACATATCTAAATATCCATTTATATACTTATTGACAAAACATAAACATTATATAGATTAATATTGGTCCAGTTACCTCGTCGCCTGCAGATTTTGCAGTCTAAAAATACATTAATTATTTAAAATTATATGAAAGGATTATATTAATGTACATACATACTTAATAAACAAGCTTGAAATACCTCTTTCTCTTTCTCTTTCTCTTTCTCTACTTCTTTCTCCTTAAACTTCTCGACCTGTGAAGATATGTTATTTTAATGAGTTTCAAATTTAATTACATTTAAAAGGTATCTTTCTTACCTCACTGGAGTATTTTGTGGACTGCAAAAAAAGATAAAGTAATTGAGAAATAATTTATTAATACAGTGTAAACTCTATATAACGACACTCGATTTAACGACAAACTCTCTAAAGCGTCGAAATCATTTGACTTTGGTTGGTTTAGCTTGTTTACCATACAATGATACACTCTACATAGCGGCACACCCACTCTCAATAACGACAACAATTAAGTCATAAAAGTACCTTTTAAGTTGCTAAAATTAGTAAAAACTGTGCAGCTGTGTACGTTCCTTTGTCGCTTTGTTATCCTAGCCAGCAATAAACTCGACTGTCCCTATCATGCATACCGAACTTTCTAAGAAATTCGTTCTTTTGTTTACAATTACAAATTGCTTAAACGTGTCGACGGTTTTTGACCATAAGTAGGAGTCTTGTATTGCCTATACGTTAACATAAAAAGTTGCTCACAAAATCTCAAAAGTATAACATTCTTTTGTACGTACATAAGTACTAACACTAGTCTGAAATAAACTTTGTCTTTTTCTAATTCTGATTTTTCTTCTTTCTATTTAACGGCAACTCTCTATAACGCACTAAAATGCACGGTCCCTTCAGTGTCGTTATATAGAGTTTACACTGTATATGAAATTATGAAAAGAAATTACTATTAAATAAATATTACACTTAACTTACAACATAATATATTGATTGATTTTGCGGTATTTGATTACAATTTATTAATACTTATTAATAAATATGGTTTAATAAAATTAAAATATAATTTTTATAAATACCTCATCGCCTCGTGACTTTCCCGTCTGAAAAATTATTCAAATTAATATAAAGAGATTCTGAGAATATAAAAATATTATTGTATTCCAACTGGAATACTTTTTTCTCGAAAACGACATATTTTATAAATTATATTTGATAACTCTAGTAAGGAAAAAATATAAGCAGCTTTAAAATGGTAAAATTATGATAAATCTTATCAGTAAATTAGTATCTTCGTCACAAAATTGTTTTATAAACAATTTGAACATTATAATCGAAACATAACTGGCTTGTATCGTTATGGACCCGTCACCCATTTTTGATTTAATTTTATAAACTTGGCTATAATTTGAAACACAAAATGGCGTTTTAATTATATTATTACTTCATAGAAAAGGAGCCAAAAGTACATTAATAATAACCTTAACTATGGCTTACATAGTTACTTATATTATAATTTACCCTAAAAAAGATATAATTTTATGAAAATTACCTCATAAGCCTCAGAATCAACGCCCTGAAACAATAAAGTTCAGAGTATGAAATTTTTCATATTCATTGATATTTAAAATGTTATAAGAAATAACCTCTGTGTATCCAGAAAGATCCAGGTCCAAACACTGAAATAAGAAAAAAAAGTTATAGCTTAATTTGATAAGCTTCTATGAAACACCTGCCAAATGCTTAAAACTCACCATTTCATCCAACTCTTTATTGGCCGCTTTTATCGCGGCGTGCTGAAATAAAACAATGGATTTCATATTAAAATAAAAAACTACTTCTATTTAAACTTACAGCGTTACCTATTTAACATATTTAAACTTACCGCGTTTGCAATTTCACATTTTTGTTCACAAGTAAGTTCCAGCTGATCGTAGGCTGCTATCATTTGTTCAAATTCGTCAATCTTACGCCTCAATCTTGCTATTTCCGCATTCTTCACCGTCATCAGAGTGTTGACGATGACATCAGTCGGTACGTATTTAGGACGCACAGTTTCATTATTTCGCTTTATAATTTCAACCAAGTGCTCAGTTTTATCTGAACAGAAGTGGGACCAAGCTCTTGCGTCCGTACATGATGCATACGTTTTCAGTTTACCTTCATTCCTAGCCGGTAAGTCAAATAAGTCGTATTCATTGAATACTCGTTCCCTTTTCGTGATAAAAGACATAGCCGAAAACTTTAACCACTATCAATAAATATAATTTTTCTAAGCATATAGGCATAAAAATTAATGGCTACTTTTCACTGCCATCCATTGTAGGCATAATTATACAATTTAAATTATTATTTTTCTTATTTATTGTAGACTGTAAATAATGTAAATATCAAATATTTTTAATTGACATCAGAAATCCAGACGGAATGATTTTGAACAGAACGTCAATTTAAATGTTTGTGTTTTATTTGTCTATAGATATTATTTGCATATCTTGCCAGCAATTTCATATATGTATAATATCATTTAATATGTATTTGGTACAAAGAACCTCATGAATATTTTAAATGATGTTTGTGACACAATTTGTATATGAAGTCTGTGGAAAATTTACTAATTGTAATAATGTAACAACAGTAATTCTATTTCAAAATTTTTGTTTTAATAAATATGATAGCAAGGTGAACTGCAGATATCATAAAGAAATCTTATGTTTGTGATTACAAAATTCAATGTTTCTAACGGAAAGAAACAAGCTTAAACTATTGTCACGTAACGAAGGAAAAATTAAGTCATATGAATCTTGCCACGACCTTAGAGCATGGAGTCATGATAACCAAACGCGAGGGCGTTACTTCAGGGATTGGATAAAGTGCAACATGCCCATTTGCGTACTCCCAGTTTGTACAATAACAAGTTTCTTAAAAACTATGACTTGGAGAGGTCGTGGAAGGGTAATATTAGCCTAAGTATAGTAAATTTATCGTTTTAGGAATAACTAATAAAAATATTTGTTTTCTATAATAAGGGTTCGCCCCGTTGTCATCCAGATTGTAAATCGAAACTTGTACTAGATAGTATCTGCTCATCGTGTCATGGCATGAAAGAATGTTTAAGAAATGATGCAGCCCATGAAAAATATTTTGACGAGGTAATATTATTTAAAATATTTTAGATACACAAGAGCTTTGCAAACTATGTCTTATTATTATAATATATTATTCTCAGGAGGAATTTGAAACAGCTCATTGGCCATGTGAACGATGTTTAGAAGCACTTAAGAGCATTAAAATGATGTGGAAGATTATAATAGAAAGAATATTTAATATTAAGATACCTAAAGCTGAAGACATTAATACTTCCAGTACCAGTAATGAAAGCGTTCACAATATAGCAAAGGCTTGGCAAAATGAAATGGTTCAACAAACCATAATCGTTAAAAATTTATCGCCCTGTGTAAGCGGACGTATAAATTTTAGTTCTCTAACCTGCAGATCAAGCACGAAAGACGTAGAAAAAGAAAGCAGGTTAAGCAATTTTAGACAGAAGGAAGTCAAAGATAATTTTAAGCATAAAACCACTGAAACTGATGATAAAGTATTATATAAAATTAGTAACATTCAAGAGCACAATGCATCATTACGTAGAAAATTAAGTCGATGTACATCATTTAGAGTAAAAACACTAGATTTCGGATGTGACGCTTGTGATACTGACGAGGCGGAATTAAATTTATGTAAAAATAATTTAGAATACTTACAACAACGATTCAACGTACAAAACGATGAATTGAAACGACTTAAAAGTGAAAACTTTTCACTCAAATTAGAACTGCGACAGATGATCAGGAATCGAAATATATCAGATATACCAATGATTATTTCTGACACTCATACTGCTGTGATACCGAAGCCATACGAAACATATTTTGACGAAAAAGACACTGGATTAACCCAACAAGTTGATTCAGAGATTGTGATTACTTTAAAAAATTGTCAAAATGAGGTACAATATAATGTAAATGTAGTATATTTCATTGTAATTACATCGGAATTCGATTTAAAACTCTTGTTCTCTTATAGAAATTCAGAAAAGTCTCCCTTTTACAAGTTTTACATAAAACAAACGGACCATTTAATGATGAAAAAATAGATAAAAACATATGCAGTAAACATGAAGATCCAGTAAAGATACTGGCCAAAGGTAAACCTGAATTTATAATATGTAAGAAGAGATTGATTCGAGCTTAAGATTACATTATTTTTTTTACAGTTCATGATACTTTTGGTACTATTGTAAAAAGAGAGATGAGAATAGCAAATAGTAAGCGTTTGAGTTCGGAAAAGATACACATAGATGCATCATATCATAAAATGAGTTGCTGTAGATCAAATCCGTCTTGTTCTAAAATATCATCACTATCTTCCTTGAACGACTCTGTTTTTGTAAGTATTTATAGGAGACCTCGGTTCGATAATTTCTTTTTTAATTACAATAAATCTGAACACATCTTATTGATTTGAATAGTGTTCTTAAATACCTATTCGAGTATTAAAAATATTTAATAATCTCAGATTGACTAGAAAATATAATTAGTATACTTTTCACAAGTTTTTAAATAGTTCAATACTATCATGTACGACGATTTATGAATGAAAAACTGGATAAGTTCCCCGTTTATCCATTTAATTTGTAAATGCAGACTTAGAGTAATATTTACAGCACTATTTTGAAAATCATCCCTAATGTGTAAGTCAGAGATTTATAGTTATTTTTTTTTCAGGAATCCTCTACTAATGTATTGTGAAGTTAATACCAAAACGTTTTCGTCTTGTACATTGTTTTGTCCTATTTAAATAAAACATTTTTCGAAACAGCTGTTTATTAATTAAAACGTGACATAATTTTTATAATACGATCATATACGAGTGTTCTAGCGTCAATGGCGAAAATGAAATCTAAATGGTTAAATTTGTCGTGTGGCACTCTGTATTTCCCTACCACGGAACCAACTTGATGGAATAATTTGTCAACATCGTCTGGCGCTGATAGCCAGTCGTTATCTCCATAATGGAGGAAAACTGGAGTCCTAATGGCGCTTAAGTCATATTCTGGAGGTTTAAATGTTCCATATATGTATTTATTTCTAAGCCACCCGTGGTCGAAATTAGCAAATTTATTCGATTTATACAGTTGGCCAAAATGAATCATTTGTCTCGTAGAAGCACCAGCTGGTGTGTGGCCTAGGATTATCGGAAGCATGGTCTGAAACAAAAGAGTTTAATGTAAAAAAGTTTATAATATCTACGTGCTAACGTTTTACAATATCTTACTTTGTTCAGTTGACTTTCATCGTATCCACACATGAGAAACAGTAAGTTTGTGCATAAAATCTGTGTGATAGCTTTCTCGTGGCATAAGGTTTTTCCAGCTATATCGTTTATAACTCCATTTGCTAGTAATTCATTTGCTCCGATTAAACCCAAAATTGTCTGCAAAAGTAATTAAGTGTTTATGTATAACCCACACTATTCTTAACAAAAAAAATATTGTTCGACAAATTTTATCGAAACAAGCACAGATTTTAGATTAATTATATAAGAATAATTACATATATATTTTCAGAAACTTAATATAATTGTAGGCATTTATATCAAAAAAACTGTTTAAGACTTTAATAATTACTCCATTTAATTTACTTTAAGTGTTTGTATCAAATCTTCAGGTACAAGTTTATTAACAAATGCATTATTAACTAGTGTGTCAAATTTTATTCATGTCCTACAAGATTTAGTTCTCCTAACTAAAAACATAACAAATATCTTGCTAGCTGAACTTACTTCTAGAGAATTTGTAAAAGGCGCTAGGGCTCTGACCAGCGGACTCTTAATATTACCAACAAATGCCACGGGTGCAAGCGCTTGCATTGCTGATACTTTCTCGTTATACTCCGGTCTTGTAGACATCATTACCCAAAAAGCTGTTGTTCCCTGAGAGAAACCTACATACTGTATTTTGGGAACTCCAGTCTCTTTTAAAACGTAATCTATGATGGCGGGTACATCGTAAAAACCGATCTCATGCCAGCTAAATTTCCAAAAGGCTGATGATGAAGGTTTTAGGGAAATGTGACCTCTTGAATACGTATTTCCTCTGGCATTCCCCATCCACACGTCGTAACCGGCTTCTGCTAACACGTACGCTAAAAGGAATTGTTGTTACAGAGTAATATATGATAATACAATATAAAATACATTGTTAATAACATTAGTCACAAGACATAAGCACAATATCAAAAGCATCTTATGTAACTTCAAATTATTGATTGAAAACTGATCTATATGACTTTGTAATATATTTTATCTATTCTAAAAATTGGCTTAAAGTTTTTGTTAGAACCGGCTATGAATGAGTTTTTTCTTAAATTTGCATACAAATCTAGATCCTGGATTTTGCTGCCAAAGATCTTGACACGCCATAACTTACACAGCATCTTACCTAAGCCTTTCCCAGGAGTCATAATCACCCATTCAGCCGACGAAGATAAGAGACCATGCTGTAATAACACAACTGGTCTGTCTCCTCTACTGACATTGTTTTTGCCATAGGGTATTCTATGCACCTCCAAAATATAATTATCTTCGGTATATACTCTATGTATTTCGCAGGGATAACCATACTTGCGGACGATTGTGAACTATAGAAAATGAGAAAAAATACATCATGCCATATAATGATAATTGCTCTTAGTACCTACGTAGTGAACCGATTTTGTTAATCTCCTTATTGTACTAATAAATTAAATTTTATTATTTCTAAATAATACATACAGTATCCAATAAAGCATCTTCAGCCAGTGACGTATCTTCTATATTATTCATAAAATTTTCATTTCTACTATATGTTCTGGTCTCGTTACAAGTGCACATATGTACCAATTTAGTCATTAAAATGATTTTAAAAAATAAATACAACATTTCGATTGAGAACAAGATGTACTGTCTACTGGACTGCTATGAACTTAATTGTTTTGAAAATAAATAAGCATCATCTATTACATGATAAGTATTTATAGTGAAATAGATAAATCATAGTAAAGATTACTCGTAGGACTGTTCGTTCATGTCTTAATTTTTTATTTGAAGGGTATTCATGAAGCAGAATTAACCATCGGTAAAGTCCTTGTTTAGATATCTTTAAAACTTTAATTCTAATACATATTTTCAAATTAAACAATGAATAGAATGTAAAAGACAATCAAAATCAAAAACAAAGGAAGGTCATAATAGAAACAAGCTAGTTAATTTAATTTAAAGATTAATGTCTTATTGTGTAATCTGGAGATTATTGTCCGATACTTGTGTATTATCAATAAAATATATAGGTCGATCTAACTAACTTCTACTAATGCTTATCCATAATTTCATGTTAATATTGGAATTAAATCCCTAGCGAAGGTTGAATAAGAAATCAATAATCATCTGACTTTTAATAATATTGATAAATGTTTTAAATATTAAGTGCGGTATAAATAAAAACTGAAAATAATGATTATCAGACAAACTCAAAGTAAAAAAAGTAATTGCTGAAAATAAAACAACAGATTTATCACTGTTCCTTCATATACTTTGATCGCACTATTTACTTAAACAATTTTCTTATCCTTATCATATTACATCATAGGGAGAAAATTTTCCATTCCCGAGAAATATCAGTTTTACTCCATCAATTTCAAATATTAATACAAAACCTCTGGTGAATATGAACTATTAAACATTTACGACTAGTTTTGAAATTAATGTAAGTAAGCGTATGCGTTCTTTTTGTCAAGTGAAGTCTTCTACTACTTTTGAATATTTATCATTCTACCAAGGTACTTGACACCTCTTTCTACGACGGTTAATAGTTATCATTACTATCAGTTGTTATTACTATACATCTCTCACGTCCTCAGCCGAAACTAAATTTACCCTTTATCAGAGTCTGTGGTTGAAAAATAATATTATGTGTTATGGATTGAAAACCCGTTCTTAACAGCAATTCCATTTTTTATCTGCAAAATCAAATACCTAATAGAAATTAAAATTTAAGATACATTCGTAAAAAATATAATTTTGTTAAATAGAGCTATTTGTTATGTCATATATTATTTTAAATTGTTCTTTAATATTAATAAGGAAAAAAAAATTCAAGTTGATTTTATATTTTCAGTAACTATTTGACATCCATTACAGGACTGTTTTCTCAAAAGAGCCACAGTAAGTTGTCTCGTTAGATGGCACTGGGGTCTTACACACGGCGAATAGCAAAATAACTTTTTAGTTATGAATATTTATTTTAAAATGTAGACGATAACTTTTGAAATCAACAGTATACTATAAAATAACCTTATGAGGATGGATGGTCAATTAACTGTATTCAATTAATATTTTCTGCTTTTCATTTTCATATATTCCACATATTTATAACCCCAAGGAAATTATTGCAAAATAATTCCTTTTAACTAGTTAAATTAAAAAAATTGCTTGTTAAATGCACCACTTCTAAAAAAATATATAATTTCACATAACTTTTTGTATTACTGACTTGTGCAAACGGAATCATTTTAAACATTATGAAACGAGTGAAATAAAAATACTTATTGAGATGATTATTTATTCAACTTAAAAGTTTCAGTAATACCGGTTTATGAATTTATATTTTTTGAAATTTTCTGTTATTTATAAGAAAATTTAAAAACACAAACAAAAATGAATGTAATTTGATCCAAACGCCCTCTATTGGACAATGGCAAAGTCGCTTCGTATTGAAGTTTCATACAAAGTTCATAAATTAATTAATAGATGGCAGGTTTATTAACAATATCCAAAACTATTGATAACCTGGTATGTACATAGTATTTACTACAAACAAATATATGTGATTTCAAGAAGAGTTAGCTTAATAAAATCGTAAGTGACAGAAAAAACAAAGCACTCGACCTTAGTCCATTTGACGGAATCTCAAGCCAGCAAGCCTTTATAAAAACAACTGGTTTTCATTCTTCTGATAGTGAATATTCATGCCCTTTCCTGCTAGGATAATCAATAATAATTGATCACCCGCATACATACTAAAAAAAACTTGAAATGCTTCTTAGACAAAATTTATACAATAAATGTTATGATGCAAATGGATTTTTTTGTTGTTTATGTAGGTGCCATTATTCTGACGTCTGACGCAGGTCTTCACCGGGCACGGGTGCTTCGGTTATTATACTTATGTCGGACGGCCAGGAGAGAGCTGCCATGAGTGCGGCGCTGCGGTGGACTCGGCCCAGCACACCCTCGAGGTATGCCCGAGATGGGCTGTAGGGGCCTGCCTAGGTCGAGTCTCACACATCCATTCCGGCCCCGCCAAGGCCGGTTGGACGCCTCGTAAAAAGAGATGTTGAAGAACATCAAAAATTAAATCAAAGTTATTAAACGACTAATTAAGGACTTGATTCAACATCTGATTTTACACAGCCAATGAAGTGTTCACTGCATAAAACATCCATAGGTTTTGGAGACCATAACGATCCATCAATAATTAAAAAAATATATGACGGAACATGCACAATACGTTGTATGAAGTACCTTATTTTAAGAAAACTAGTTGATATTTTAGTTTCATTTCTTTCATGTTTATATTTAAATGTTTTCGTTCATTTGAGTGATTTTAATTATTTAAAATAGTTTTATACTCTAATTTCCAAATATTTGTATAGTTTTTTGTAAAGAAGTAAAACTTAGTCTGTATATATGTTTTTAGGTGGAGAGATGGTGAAAAAACGTAAAAAAAAGGATGCCGGTGAGTCCTTGCCTTCCAGCACAAGCAGCGATTCCTATTGCGAGGATTCGCCAGTATTGCAGGATGCAAATGCGTTCGCTCCCTTTAGGGTCGCTGATTATTGTCGCCGATACCCTGAAGATGCGGAAGCCAAGTCTGAATTCATAGCATTTGTCGAAAGTACTAATGATGTCCCACTCGGTAAAAGGTAAAGGTAATCTTATATCTTTAAATGAGCAAATCCTATATAATTTGTATGTAATCGGAATGTATATATATTTGTATGTAATCGGAATCGGCTCCAACGATTTTCATGAAATTAAGTATACAAGAGGTTTCGGGGCGATTAATCGCTCCAGCTGGAAATCGTTTTTGAAAATGTTATTTTATTTAAAAAAAGAACAAAAAGGAGTCGTTTAAAATATGACTCTTCCTGACGTCTATTGGCGGATAGTAATACTACTTTTTGCTCATTACTTTAACGACACAACAGCAGATGGCGTTGTTAAGCACCAGGAAGTCAATGAGTGTTTGTTTTTAGGTAGGACTAAAAAAATTATTGATGATTTATATTGTTTTGTCTTCTTAACGTGTTCACTTGAAAATGCCTAAACGAAACTAAAAAAAAAAAACACAAAATAAATACTAATAATTCCTAAATACCAAGCAAAGCTCGGTAACCAGGTACTAGGTCATAATGAGTAAAGTAAAAGAGAAAATAACAACTTCACACCGCAACCTACTCACAGCGTAGTAATTACTTTTGCGTCTGCTACGTAATTGCCGGACTATGTTCACATTAAGATGTGGCGCCTGCTTGTTTCCCCATATGTCCCACCTATAAAACAGTGTTTTAAATGTTTACGCTATGATCATCTGGCTAGCTTTTGTAAAAATTCACAGCGATGCTCCATATGCACAGAGGGGCATTCTTTCAAAGAATGCAAGGTTAACATTGAAAAAGCTAAGTGCATCAATTGTAATGGCAATCACATTGCCATCTCTAGCCACTGCCCTATAAGGCAAAAGAAAATCGCAAACGGTAAATCCAAGTCACATACTGTGACACGTTAAAAATTCATTGAATTTTCCCTCCCTTAAAAAAAATTTGAAGCGATACTATCAAACTCTGAAGCAATGACTCTATTAACAGAATCTATAGTAAAAGTTATAACTGTAAATAAAACTCAAAATATCAGTATTAGTTCACAATTTATTAGCTCAGCTATTAAAGAAACCATCAAGGATAAAACAGCAAATCTTAAATATTGTACAGTGGAACACTCAAAGTATGTTAAGTAATAGACTTGAGTTTCAACATTTATTATACCAAAATAATATACATGTTGCTCTTATTTCAGAAATCAAGCCTAGCATTCAATTCAATTTATTTCAATTCAATTTAATTTTAATTTACCATTATTAGGCATGACTGCAGTAATGATCATAATGGCGTAGCAATATTAATTAAAAATGGTATACATTTCTCTAAACTATATACTTTTTATGATGATTCATTACAAAATGTAGTAATTGTTATTAAACTGGTTCTTTGGTTAGTTTTTAGCGTCCTGGTAATAGTTTTCCTGGTTTTGAAGAGGCGAAGTTCGATCGTTTATTGTACATTATTCCAAAACCGTTGATAATTGCAGCCGATTTTAACGCCCATCATACTTTTTGGGGTTGTAGTCGCATAGATTCTTGGGGCAGAGCTATAATGGATTCCATGGATGACAATGACTTAATACTTTTAAATAATGCTCACCCAACAACTATAGGCTCTCATATTTGGAAACCAAACAGTCTAAATTTGACTATGGTGTCTTCTTCTTTATTTCTTTCTTGTGACGTGCAAGTTCATCAGGACTAAAGAGTTCTCATCCGCCAACTATCAAAAAATTTACTCTCCTAAGAGACCAACATGAATCCTCTATTTCCTTGAACAACATTCCTTTTCACAGCAATCTGAAATTAGTAAATTGAGATAGTTATGAACAAATTGTTAATAAAATGTTAATGGACTTTAAAGTTGACAAAAGTGACCTGATTGAGTCATACAAAAAGTTTTGTGAAATTATTCTATTGGCAATCGAATTTTCCGGGCCCAGATTAAACCATAACACAACTGATAGTAATAATAACCGTCGTAAAAAGAGGTGTCAAGTAC